GCTAGGCGATAAGGTGCTGTGGGCTTGAATCCTCCTCAAGCCTTGAGGCTCAAGATAAGAAAAATTCTGATGACTGTTCCTGTGCTTCGGAGCTTCTGCCCGGTGTCATCTTTCAATCCGAGTAAACACTGTGCAACTATCAATTTAGCAGTTATTGTGGTATAAGAAAATTCTTATTATAACTAATAACTATGACATATATTAGGATTTAATCGCTCCTGTTCTTTTTTCACAAGCTTTGTTTGGCACCATTTTGATTTCCATTAAATGTCTTTGCAAAGGTTTCTGCAATTCTAGAAAAACTTGACAGGGGGATGAGATCAGATACTGGTACCATTAAAGCCAAATTCAGCTAGTCATAGCATTTTTAATTTTCTATAATTAAAAAACATGTAAAATAATTGAAAGAACCACCTGAATGTAAAACACCTGAAACAGGATATTGGCTGAAGTGTCAATGGACAGTCCTTTAATTTGTCACTTCCACTTGTTCAGCCATTCGAGATAAACTTATCATTCGACAACAGCTGAAAATGTTAAATCCTCAAAACGGGATATAAGTGGAAGTGAAAAGAGAATAATTTTTACGCTTTCTTTTGTCCAGTGAGTCACAAAACAGATATGTCTGTTAACATCTGATTGGTATGAAGGAACAACTGGACATGTTTTGAACTGTCAAAGCAGGACATTTGTTGAAGTGTGAAGAGAGAATTTTTTGCTTTCACACTTCTTGTGCCACCACACTTCACGATTTTGTTGATTAATATTAAAGAAATATATGATATGATTGATGAATTGACCATAGCTGAGCATTTAAACCTTTAAAAGAGAATAAGGTGGATCTTAAAGGGGAAAGTATTTTAAATTAGAATGCGTGTCTAGCTGGCCACCAATATTTTCCATTCAAAATAAATCTAGAATGAAAATAAGATGAAGTCCCCTTAAGTTTTGCTTCACATGGCCAAAACACATTTCAATGACTCGTTCCAAGGAAAAGAGTGAAATGTTTAACAAGATGAAATTGAATGTAGAACACCTGAAATGATATTTTGACCACCTGGAAACAGGATCTAAGTTGAAGTGTTATAATAACACTGTCAGGAACTAACACTTATAGTGAAAACACACTGTTTCCTACACAATAACTCCTTTACACCTTGATGTTAAAAACTCATATAACATATGGTGATATTGATTTAGAATGAGAGAGGGGGGGGGGGGGGCTGTTTAAGTTCTTACAGATGAGTCGCAGGGCTAAGGAAAATGATGATATTGATTTTAAATGGTGGGGGTGGGGTGTAAGATGCCAGTACATTTGTGAGATCTAGTAAATGTTACAATTAGAGTGAAAACAATGTTTCCTACCCAATAACACCTTGCCACTGTGATGTTCAGGAAGATTGGTGGCTTGATTGAAGGTCCCAATCAAGGGAAGGGAAACTAACACTGTCAGTGAAAACACAGTGGGCACCTTGATGTTTGAAAAATATCTTGGGCATGATTCTTGAAAGGGGTTTGATAAGGCCAGCATGTCTTCAACATATTCACCTCATACAATACAATTTGAATAAAAATGACTGTCCAATCTATTTATAAATGGCAAGGTTTATCAGTAGCAATGAAGGGTGTTGCACCAGGCAGGGTATTCTTACTTTTTTAAACACCACCTCTATGATAATGATGACTTCCTCATGTGAAAAGTTCATTAGCTGCTGCAATGTTTCGCCAATATGTTGTTTTGACTTCCGGTTCACTTTGCGGTCCGGATTGTTAGTACTTGGTTTATTTATTGAAAATCAATGGGGAAGGGAAGGCATGGTAGGCCTACTTGTGTGGACAAATGTCACAGTTGTATCCATTTGATTCCATAATTAAATTGATCAAAGGCAAAGATATGGTAGGCATTACCGATAGTTTTAACAACAGGCTTGATTTGGTGAGAACTAACTAGTAACTAGTGTATGATATTATAGCCATGTTATTCTATAACTCACTTTATGACTGGCAAGTTGAAGTTGAACAGAAAATGATGTGCAACGACTAGGCGTATTAATTATTAAAATAATTTACACCTATAGAACAATGAGAGAGTGTTAGCTAAGATTATATCTCGTGGTTCAAGTTGAAATATAGATTATTGATGTACATTTAGTACTGTAAATTATGGAAGCTCTCTCAATACCTGAAACGTTGTTTTGATAATTCATAATCCATAATATGTTTTGTCAGACATTAAATATAGAACTTAGACTACAAGATGATTGTTATCTGGATTCAAATTGTTGTCTGTTGAATGATAACAATAAGCTCAGTTTCTTGTATCCATTCATACTACTGAAAACTGACATTGTGCCAATTTGTGAGGTAGTTGAACCAATTTAGTGTGTTTTTTCCAATTTTGACAGCTCAGTGTCTTGTTAACATCCTAACTACTGGCAACTGACAATAATTCTGATCACATACTTTGAATGTTTGTCAAGTAGAGCTCTAATAAAAATCCATACCAGCAAAACAATTCCATTAATCAAAATCTCGTTCAAAGCATGACAAAATCAAGAGTAAAAATATTATAGTAGTGGACTCCTCCAAAGAGAAGTACCATCAGGTGTTTCGAAAAGAGTAAGCATGGTCTGCTTCACGCGCGACACCAGCCACTACTATCTGGGTCAACATCATGAGATACAATCAGATCAATCTAAAGCAGAACACAGACAGGAAAGATAACTCTTCACCCCTCTCCCTTCTTCAGTTCTCAATCATATTATGCCCTTGCATCTGCTGTAGAAAATTGTTCTATACCTGGCAACCCCAAGAAAGGTGAAACATCTGTTAATAATTCTACCTGTATGTTGATTGTTATCAATATTTACACCTGTTTATACCTTTCCTACCTTCTCTTTCTTCTAGTTTTAATCTAACACAGATCTATCATCATCTTTAATCTAATCTTAATATCTCCGACTCTGATGATTATCGTGTATAATTTGTAGAGTTTGAAAGGCTATATAGAAATTAGTCCGACAACTCTAGCCTCACCCAGTTCTTCTTCATATGTGATATGGCGAACCGCGGTGGCTCAGCGAGTTAGACACTTGTTCACTAACTTGTAGGTCCAGGGTTCAATCCCGGCATAGGTGGAGATAATACCTTTAGATTTTTCAACCCGGTTTCCCCCTGTCAGTGATGCAGGTAAGAGGGGCTGATATGGAAAAAGTGTCTAGTCGTTCAAATGGGACAATAAACCAGGCTGTGTACTTTAAAAATCAATTATGTGTATCTGGGGATACTGATAGCACCACTTTCCACAATTTCAAATTTCAGTCAGATATCCTCCTGTAATTATAGAAAATGCTTCACTATAATTAGCAGTTTGCAATAGTGACGTTATTTAATTTAGTGGAATGATTGAAAATTGGAATGGTACAAATCGATGCGATCAGTTTTCCTGATATACATAAAAAGTTAAGAAATCCTCCATACAACCAAGAAGATTTATATGATAACCGTTATGATCTTCTTTGATTTAGTTCATTGCATATTAGCATTAATAATTATTGTAAACATAACTTTAACCCTGTGCCAGTGCCTTATATTGAATAGTAACTTGTTACTCTTCAATCACCCTAATCTCCATACAATCCTTGTTATACCTGCAACATCTGAAAAAAGGGCAGGAAATGTTGCTGTCCTGGCAAAATTTCCCTCATTGCACCCTGCATGGCATTGCCCGTCTTCATTAGCGGAAAAGTAGGATGTAAAACTCCATTCATTTCATTTCATTTTTTTTATTTCTTTAATGAGTTAGGAATAGTGAGTTCATGCTTTAAATATTCCTTTGGTTGTCATCCTGTTTATCAATACAGTAGAAAATAGAAAGGAGAAAATACATAAGAAATGGGTCTAGACACATTACCAGCAATGTTGGCTTGTTTTAGATTGTATCTATGAAACTGTATCTTACGCCAGAAAGAATAGGTACAACATCTTTACGCACCTTCAATCAAGAAGAGTGTTTATGATATGTATATATCAAGTATATTCACTGGTGTATTTAGGGTGAGGGCCATTGGGCCCTGGTCCCCCCACAGGCTTGTGGAAGGTCAATGAGCACTTCATGAACTTCTGTGGAGAGACACCCCCCCCCCCCTCCTCCTTCCTCCTGAGCAATTTTCTAGGTACTCCCCTGTATATATTGACAAATGTGTAGAAGTTAAAGGATGTGTATATTAGATGTATGTATGAAGTATATAGCCCTAGGTATAAATATATAATAATTATTATAAACAATAGTAAGATATCACAGGTGATTTCAATCAACAAACTTTCTATAACATTCTACCAGTATCATATACCTGCTAATTCTTTAACCTATAAACTATCAGTTTATCAGTTCACAACCCATGTCAATTATATATTTTGAACATGGTACTTCTTGGCCGATTATAATAGTCCATTGTGGTACTTTTCCCTTTGTAGTTCTTGGATCATTTATTACGTATGTGCTCTTTGGTCCATTATGGTACTTCTTTGCTCCATTATGGCACCTCTTGGCCATTGTGGTTCTTCTTGGTCCATTGTGGTACTTCTTTGCTCCATTGTGGTATTTCTTGATCCATGGTGGTACTTTTTGATCCATTATGGTATTTCTTGATCCATTATGGTACTTCTTGATCCATTATGGTACTTCTTGATCCATTGTGGTACTTCTTGATCCATTATGGTACTTCTTGATCCATTGTGGTACTTCTTGATCCATTGTGGTACTCCTTGATCCATTGTGGTACTTCTTTGCTCCATTGTGGTATTTTTGGTCCATGGTGGTACTTCTTGATCCATTATGGTATTTCTTGATCCATTATGGTACTTCTTGATCCATTATGGTACTTCTTGGCCCACTGTGTTACTAAACACATTGTGATATGTTTATGGTGCATCTTGCATATGTTATTAAATCAAACTACAAACTAAATTAAGATATTTAAATTCTGGTTTATTTTCAGGACTAGAAGACCAGATGATGACTGCTGTAGCTTGGGAAACATCACAGATTACTGAGCTAGATCTAACTTCTACTGAGCTATCTACAGACTGTCTGGATAGTGTCTTGTCTCGGATGCCTGGATTTACTTATCTTGGACTCGGACATTGTGAATTCTTCACAGATAAGGTAGGGTTGGAGCTTCTTATATCAATTTTTACGAAGAATGTGTCAAAAGATCCTATAATGATAATGATATATCTATATAAAAAGTGACTTTCAATACTGTAAAAGAATGAACAAAGCTCTTGAGTGCTTTTTGAAAGATTGTCTATTCATATCAATTCAACAATCATATCTTGACGCGGGTTTTGAAAGTGGCAAGAGATGAAGATAGTTAAGTGGTATCAAGTAATTTGTTCCATACAGAAGCTTCCGAAAGACCTTGCTCCAACAGTCTGAAAATATCCTAGTATAAATAAAACTGTGGACTATAAGTCCCCACAATATATAACATTCGTGTCATTTCCCAAAATTTGGCATTCTGTCTTTTGTTTTCCAGGTTTTAGAGAAACTAATGGAGAAAGGAAAACTAGTCCGGCTACAGGCCATTGATATTAGTCACACCCACGCCCTGAGTGAAAATACCCTCTACCATTTTGTACATAACCATGGTTACAATCTCCGTGGACTGATGTTGGCTGGAAAATCAAAACTAACAGAAAACTTCTGGTTGATGGTTATTAGATATCTTAAAAACATCAAGTAAGTGTAGGTTTACTAAGAATGGTACAGTGCTTGATGTGAATATTCCTATGGCCTGTACTCATGCAATATTGAAAACTAAGGTAGAACAATATGACAGCCTGTTTCTAGGAAACTGTAATATAATTTTAAGTATGGTATCAGTGGAATATGAAGTTCCTATTGATTGGCAATCGGTGGCATCAAGTATTATTTTCAATCCATCTTTCTGCTGACTTGGTAAAACTTTCCTGTATCACTCCAATCTGGAGCAGAAAAACTGGATAGAAAACTCCATATCATTTCATGATCAAGAAGTCTTTTTTTTGTAGCAAAATTTCCCTCATTGCACACCATATGGCATTATGAAGCCTATCTTAGTCCAATCTGAAAGACATAACCTTGATCTATTTCATTTGTAATCTGATAAAAAACTTCTTTTAATTTTAAATTTGTTTAAGATTTGGCTGATAATTTAGCTAATTGCTTCTATAATATGTTATATGAGAGATGTCTCGATAGTTAGATTTAAAGTTAATGAATTCCAGACTGTTAGCTATCTGTGTATTAGGTAATATGTAAATTAAGAGGTCGTAAGGTCAGTGAAATGAGGTTAGTAGAAAACCGGGCTATCAGTATGATGATTGTGATAATAGTGTGATTGAATAACAGACTTGATTAGATCTGCTTCAATTATCACTATATCAATCACTAATAGTTCCTACGGAATTCTAAGTGGGGTGGGGGGAGTTTTATTTTACCATAGTTTTAACTATATGATTGACAATTTCTTTCAATATGGTTTTGACTAACAATGATATTGATTTTGACAATGGTAGAAAATGACTGTATAGGAATTGGGGAGAACTGTTTAATTTTATTACTATTTATAGAAAATATCACGTGTTTGAAACGTTTTTAATTGAAGGGGTGGGTATTACTGCAGTCTTGGTCCGAAATATTTGTCACCTATTAGAGTCTTGAGTAAAATCTTGTGTGTGCCCTCGTTTTTCACAACTAGATAATGGCGTCCCCGACAGGATTTATAATATCAAACCAGTTTGATAATTGTCTCTGATAGTTTTATCATCTGCATGACATCATCATTCAATCAAATTTATTTTCCTTTCAAGTGCATGCTCCACACGTGATTATTGACATTGTGGAAAACGACCGACTGGAGATTTTTGTCTCCTCTTGTGCCCGTGCCAGTCGACATAACTCTTGACAAGACTGTAGTTGGCGACAAAAATCTCCCATTACGAACACTCGTGTGTCCGGACCTTTAAATTAGGGGAGGGGGAATAGTGGTGTATGCTGTTTGCAACATTTGATTCAGAAATGCTTGTGTTTCCAAGGGAGAATCAGGAATGTGCACAAAATATATCTGTCTTTTTATCTTGAATGGACTTAAAATATCAACAGCTGATTTAACCTTAATCTGACCTTGATCTTATTTGTGTTGTACTTTATATACATGTTTATCAAAATGACTGTTCACTTGTTACACTTTATTACATCACATGATGCATATATAGGAAAGAGGCGGAGATTCTTGACTTGTCAATCATTTTGATGGATGCTTTCAATTACAATGTGACCTAATTAATTCACATCTTATGCTAATTGGTAATTTCCTGAGATAAACCATGGTTTAATTTTCAATATATTTATTTGTGTTTTCATAAACTCAATGGGGGACAACTGTCAAGGCTGATTCAAAATGCGGCAACTCTATGAAGGCCTCTTGTCGCAAACCTCTAATGGTCAAATGGCCCTCCTGTACCCACACAGGTGCTGCTACTGCCTGTCGGTCGTGTCCTTAAAATACAGTCAAATCAACAGCCCTGGAAAGTCCTGTATTAATTTCTTTCATATTAGGTTTAAGTCTATGTTGTGAAGACCCGGCTGCAAATTAAGTCATATCATGTTTATAAAGAAAGATAGGTAGATAGAGACCAAAGATAACAAGTTACAACTAGCAATATTTCTTATTGTATAACTTATCATCAGCTAGCTACTGTAGTTTTCTTAATTATTATCTGAGTTTGCTTTAGCTTTAGAGAACTGCTGTGGGTCTGTGAGTTACAAGCTTGCTCGCTAACCTGAAAGTCCCTGGGTTAAGTCCAGATTGCTTCAGCTTCAGAGAGCTGCTGTAGTGATTCAGTGAGTTGGACACTTGCTCCTTAACCTCAAAGTCCAGGTTTCAGTTTTGGCACAGATTGAGATAATACCTTGGGATTTTTAAATCGGGTTGTTCCCTGTCAGTGAAGCAGGTCCGAGAGTCTAGTCCTTTGTTTTGGACAATAAACTGAGATCTCATGTTCTAAAGTCTGTGCACGTTGACATTCCCTGGACAGTTGGAAATCGACTAACAGCAGCTACCCTGGAAAAATTTTACTATAGCACCAATCTGATAGTATCAATTTACTCCATTCCAATTCTTCAGTCAGACGTCTGTGGTTCATGCAAAGCCATTAAATGATGACATCACTAATTGCAAAATATGCTTTATCACACAAGGCTCTTCACCTTTAGAAATCTCTTTACAATCCTTGTAACTTCTATCGATCTTTGATCAGATAATTTGAAGTTTAAAACAGGCATTTATTGGAATGAATATGGTAGTAAATGAAGATATCAAGTTTATCTCTATCAATATCAGTTTAATGTCTAAATCAAGATAACAGTATTAATTGTCTACTGAGAAAACGGTTATCTTAGAGTTCAACTTATCATTGAGTAATTGTATAGTATCAATATTAATGTTCAGAGTCTGGAGATTTAGGTTTGATTTTGGAGGAGGGAATTTGATGCATAAATAGATTAATCTAAAACGGGGGTTCCTAAACTTATTCAGGTAGTGACCCCTTTCTAGGAATCTGCATCAGAATGTGACCCTTCAAAGGAAAAAAAGAACTTTTGCGTTTGACTCAAGTTTATTGTAATACATTGTTATCATTTATTTTACATTATCATCCAATATTTGACAGCGAGTTATTGATCAATATGAAGGTTACGCCTGTTTTTGAGCGACAAACATATTCTTCTCTATTTGTAATGTTATGATTACATACTTTTCATGAACCATATCAATTTTCTAAAAGTTTTCAGACTATTTCGCGACCCCAAGAAAAGTGGTAAGCTACCCCAATTGGAAACCCTGGATCTTAGGAAATTAAGATTTTCTTTAATCGTGGCAGTGGCATAATAGACATGTTGGTGCCTTTTTGCAAGGGCATCAATTTTCAGATGGTTAGGGCTTTGGGCGCATCAAGTCACAAAATCCAAACAGAACACATTTGATCATGTGTTTTGTACATTGTCATTGTTACAAATTTTAGAGGTAAAATATCAGGAAAAACAAGTTTAATTTAGATTGTGGTTTATGTGGCCCAGTTTGAAGTGAAGATTAATAGTTAGTAGGTTGAGTCTATTTTTACCTGTATTTTATCTGTTGACCAGGTGTTTTACTTATCATCTACCAGTTCTATTTATATTATTATTAAACTTTTATTAACATCAGTCTTAAAAACTGGTACTCAGTCTTCAATCAGTCTTTATTCAGAATTAGAAATTCCTTCTGATGGGAAATTGGAAGCCCATTTGAAATACTGAAATCTGTAGCTCTTTGACAGTCTTTGTTGGATCATTTGGGTTGCGCTTCCAGTCAAAACTAACTTAGTCTATAACACTGTTTAACATCTGTTTCACCTACATAGCTCTATTTGAAAACTTTACAGCTGAATAAAAATCTATTCGTACAAATGGGTATGGATAATTTGATGATTGGGTAGTTATTGCGACTTTTTTAAGAACACTTTTTCATTACAGATTTGATATGAAAAGCCCAATTCAAATGATATTTCTTCTTGATTAAAAAAAAAACTGATTTATATATTTACAGAGTGTGTGTGCTGGGTACAGCCAATGGTTGGTTTTTAAAGATGCAGAGTCGAGTTCATGTTGATCAGATCGTGGAGGCATTCGCTCAACAATGTCCGAGAATGGAGAGGTTGGAGATACAGTGGGATCCTGATACTATACGATACAGTGATAAATCTAGTAAATTTATTGATCATTTGAGGTAATATTATCCTTCAATAGCCTAATTTGTTTCATTGTTGTCTGAATCTAGTAGAGGTAATGATAGGTTATCTCCCATGTATGCATGTAGTCTTGGTAAACCAAATTCCATTGTCCAAAAATGATGTACTTATGTTTACATTTTGATCCATGCAAAGTCATTCAAGAACAACCATAAGGGTACTCTCTCTTAATATAGCTGATATAATTCAAATCAATATAGTATAAAAACTTAAATAGCTATATTTCATTTACAAGTAAGTTAGTGGAGGCCTTAAAGCTTTATTTTTTTAACATTTATGAATTAGAGTATACCTTCTACACTTATGTTGTGTTTTTATATTCCAGATTGAGATGTCCCCATCTTCGATCGTTCACACTAAGTGACGGAGAATATTATGAAATGGTGAAATCAAACTTTGAACGAGCCGATAGAGTAAAAGTTGTTAGGACTACAACTAACTATACAACTAGTATTGTATGCTTGTTGAACAATTACAAAGATTTACTCTTTAATTGAGAGGTAAGGAAAGGGGCTGGTGTCTGCGAGGGTTTGACAGAGTTCTTGGATTTTAGGAACAATAACCTACTATTCATTAAAAGGATAGGTGTGCCATTTTGCTGTTTTTATTAGAAATGTACGAAAATCTCATAATTCCTGCAAAAATACTTTAAACTAGGAATTTTACTCAGTATTTCTATATGTCGTTTCTATATATCATATAGTATCTTATCTTGACGAGTCATCATTTTAACATTCAAATTCTGAACACACATGGATTTGAAGGCTTAAATTTCAATGGTGAGCTGTGAACACTTTTACTGATTAGCTCAGCTAAAAAATTCCCGTTTTTAAGACTAAAGTATGATTGGTCAAAAAAATGACGTATCTGTCTCTTTCATATTGTGTGTAGGTTGAATGGCTTAATTGATATGCAAGGAGAGAGAGAGAGAGAGAGAGAGATAGGGGGAGGGGGGTGTGTAGAAGTTCTGTGAGAGAGTAGGCTGTTTTGTAAGAGAGATTAGTGCTCTTGTAGAGTGCAGGCATACTTCTTCCTACAACCTATCATTACAGTAATATATTACTTTAATACAGCCAATTATGAGCTTCATCTCAATGTTTTGTTTTATCTTATCTATTTCAGGGCTTTGTGTATGAGAAATTGTTAAAATGTGTGGATCCTATACCAGTAAATAATATAAACCAACAACAGAGGTATGATAAAACCAGTGTTTGATACAGACCTCTCTGATAATTGTGTGTTATTTTAGAAGTAAAGAATCAATATGAATTGACCCTGTGGATTATACCAAGTAACAATATATGATAAAAACCAACAATACTAGTGCACTTTGTGTTACCAATTGAATAAGTTTCCTATCTCTTGAGGTGTCATTTTAATGAATGTGATACAATGTGTTACTAATAGACTTAGTTACCAGAAGTCCTCTGAATGAAAATGAATGAATAATTCTGACAGATTTCACATAGATGATATCATCACAGTTTGTAGCTGTTTGTGTAATATACAAACCGGCAGTTTAATTTGGATCAATAATAGGCCTACAGATTGTGAAATATTTTACAACAGAACGACACAATTGAATTTGAAGTAACATAGTCTTTATATAAGACATTGTTAATAAATATCCTGTGATTTAAAAGGTTGAATTGTAATGAATATGAGGACAGAGTCACAAAAATATTTTAAGATCAAAAGCATAAAAAATCAACGAAAAAAATCAAAAAAATGCAAATCCTCAAAATGTAAATGACAAAATCAGGGTAACATAATTATTTTAATATTTTTAGCTTTCTTTAAATTTTGCTGAATGTTTCAGTTTATTAAGAAAAATAACCATTGAAAAATACTGTTCTGGATCATCTTCTCAATGTCAAGCTTTTACGAGCTTCATATTTATATCTTGACTGCAACATCCACCTTTCTTGTATCATAGAATGAAGCGATATGATTGGCAACACCAGGGAATACAGTCTAGTCAAAGCCCTCGACAGACAGACTGTAAACATTATGGTGAACAATCTAACTAAATCCCTGCATTTACAAACTTCAGTGATACAAGAAAGGTGGCTATTGGAGACAAAGTCTCTTGTGCTGATGGTACTAGATATGTTTACTTTACAACTTTGTTACAAGTTTCTTGGTACAAAAAGCTTCTGTTAGTTAGGTTTCTATTTTGACATGGCCAATGATCTCCTTCAATTTTTAAGGTGGAATATTTTGTGAGAATTGTGTTATTTTCCTACTTAATGCATGTTGAAGTATGCCTATTACAATATTTGTTAGTTGAGTTGTTTATTTGTTTTTTAGATTTATTTATTTATTTGTTTATTGTTTTGTATATCTTGTTTAGAATCTCCTGGTCTTATTTTTGATTGTCTCCCTTTTGAGATTTTTTATATTTAAAATACTTCATAATAATCATTTTCCTTGCCAATGGTACGATATTATCAACATCTAATATACCGAATGTTTCCGTGTATAATGCACCATTTTTTTACCCCAAAATGTGCACTATACACTGTAATAAGTACTACCATTGCTATAGGAACCTGACTAATAATATACATTATTGTGTGACCTGTGTTCAGTTTAAAACTGTTGCTTTGTGTGTTTATACCTTAGTTTTGTAAAAAAAAGTCAATATTGGCAGGTAACTTTCTATCAAATAATATTTCAGAGGCTTAATCTTGCTTGTACTAAAACAATGCCTTGATGAACATAACTTTAAGTGGAGGCTAATTTAGTTAAGCATTATTCACAAAAGCCAGGCACCTATGAGAGCCATCAGTTCAAATTAACTTTTGATCTAACTCGATGGCGTCTGCTTTAACCAATCAAATTTCTACCCTCTCTAGCGCTGGCATTTTGTGACGCGATGTTTATCAGGTTAGGTCAAAAGGTTGATTTGACGAACATCTGTCGTTAGACCCCAACTTAAGTGGCTATATTAAAAATTAAAGCTAATAAAAAAACAGAACAAAAGTTTTAATTAAACTGATGAAGCATTTAAATGGTTAAATATTCACTGTCAATTTTAAAAAAAATGCTTTATCATCCACCTTTGTAATTGTATATTATGATCCATTAGATTGTGGTTAGACAAGTATATTATGAACCTAGTCAAACAGAATATTGTTTTTGTCTGTGATAGAATAAATTATTAAAATTTTGGGATTGTTTTACTGTAATAAAGTTTTGTTAAAAACCAATTACATATTTTTTCTTTAGAAATTAGGAAGTTCGGTTGTTGCCTGCAGTGGGATAGCTCAGTCTGTGGAGAGTTGCATTGTTGTCTGCTTGGGCAATGGGATAGCTCAGTCAGTAGGATGTTAAATTGCAAACTGTTAACAATCAGGTGCAGTGGGGTCGAAGATGATGGCCGGGCGTGTATTTTTAAGACTCAGCCAAAATTTTTCCTTTCAATCTCACTAGCTCACAAATTTTCTTGTAAGTCTGAATGTTGCAAGTTTATTCTTATCCTGAGAAAAAAACAATGCCATTACTGCAGCTGACAAATGGAAGCCTAAGATTGGGGGCTGTCTGTCTGCCTCCCGTCTCGATGCTTATGACGTATAGAATCTGTGTCTGGGTCAATTTTGTTTTTACTTAGCAATTAACTTGCTAGTACTTATAGTAAACCCGTCTGCTGGTCAAGGCTGTATCTCGCCTTTGAAATACAAGAGGTACCAGTTTAAAGAACTAAGAAGGATATCATGGCTACTTGAAGGACTGTCGACTTAGCCACATGCGGTAGTGGAGTTACATAACAAATTTCGCTACACGACATGGTTGACAATTACCGTGAACTTTGGTTTCAGTCAAATGCAAAATTAGATAGATTATAATGATATAGTATTCACGTTCTTGTTATGTGTATCGGGGTTCAAAGTCGAGGTCATGACCTGAGTGAACTATTAACCAGCCAATCAGAGATCATGTAAACAAGCTTTGGTTATCCAGACTTTGTCTTATCAATGAAAAATTCGCGACATGATAACCAAGAAGACTAAGACCTCGATCATGGCTGGGTTTATTTTTAGTGTGTGATCATCTTTTCTCAGCGTGCAGGAAGAAATTGTGCTAAAAAAAAGTGAAATCACAAACTTCCGACTCATTGTTCATTTTAAAGAAAACTACCTTGTATGTGAGTATATAGACCTTGCAAGTTATATCTTAAAACAGTTATTTGATCTGGAAAGAGACCTAGAGGGGGTCTGTGTAAGAAAGGCGTCGAGGAGAAAGATACGATATAGCCTAAATCTAAAAGGTAAAAATATTATTTTATTTTGAAGGATCACGTAGACCTAGTGTCTTTATATTTCTAAGCACAGATAAAAATCCCACAATTGATTTTTTTCTCAGTAGAATTTTCAAGGGATATGTGGCTAATAATGATATTATTATTATATTTTATTGCGGCTTCTTTGTTAGTTTAACCTGTCAATCTAATTCACCAGATCATTGATTGGTCGTTTCTATATTATGGCGGGAGTTTTTGTACTTTAAAAGGAAACTGCATTTTGTAACTGTAAATAGAGTCACACGTGCGAGTTGTCGCACTGACGATGGGAGTTTTTAGCCTTGATTTAGATATATTCAAATCACATCTCCTTGACAATTTCAATGATTGGATGTTAGTGCGACGGAGGGACATCACATCTTAGCATAAAATATGGCACCTTATATGAAATCCATAAGTTTTGGTAACTTTTTCTCTTGCTATTGAGTTTAGTCATAAGTAATGTATCTGTATTACATTTTTCAGAGTTCGAAAGAAATTCAAAATGGTGGTAGAATACACATCTGGTTTGTCGGATAAAATAATGTACAATAGAAAACGACATTCATCTGATTCTTGTTCATCAGACGATGAAAAAAGAAGGCGGGAACAGATTAATAGTCAAGAGTTATCTCCACCTTCTAGTCCTACGTCATCATCACCACGAACGTCATCAGATTCTATATCGTCATGGGGACCAGTGTATCGAAATAAAAAACACTTTATCAACATGCATTTTATATGAAAAGGAAATGTTTCTAGAATTGTTGGACCATAGGCCCAGTTTTAACGCAGCAATTATATTTTTATGATTCGTCTCCATCTGCATGACTTAAAAGTCATTGGGAACATTGATTACTTTAGTTTGATCAATTATAATTATATTGAAGGTGAAAACTTCAGGCCTACGCATAGCGTTATCATAACCTTATGATCGTAGGCCTACCTTTGTTTCTTTATCTTATGGCCCTTATAGGGCCCTGGACATTTTAATGTTAAATAGGGTTTATCTATTTTGTTTTGTATCTGTATTGTAGGCTAGGGCCGACTCTTTTTTACCTGAATCTTTTAATCATATCATTTTCTTTGCAAATCATGTTCCAAACTTGTTGTGTTTTGTATGTTATATGGTGGTCTATTATATAGGCTACTAATATTTGTTTGATAATAAACATTATTGTTATAAAAATCTTTTCGTTTCTCTTTAAAATCAAATGATCCACTCGAATCCCAATGAATTGACTGTATCATAAACACTTTAATGTACAATGGCATAATATAATCTAGGTCTAGTAGTGCTTCGAACAGACAATTTAAAAAGTTCAGGCAGCTTTGACATTACCTTGGAAGTTATCAAGAAGTTCACGGGTGACAATACCATTATGCTTGTGCATTATAACATAAACAATAATTGCTGGAATTTGTTTAAAAGAATGGGCAAGGTCATGTAGACAATTCTGGCTAAATGTTAGCAGTAGCAGTAGCTTTCATGGTTACTGGCAGGTAGGATTCTACCATTGCAATATAGAAATAAAAACAAGGCAACTTAACTATCAACCATTTTTTTCGAGTCTGTTTTAGTAAGTTGTCTGAATGTGACTGGTTAAACTTGAGCTACCTACTGCGGTGTTTGACCACAGGCCCTTGAAGTTCTGTCAATATTAATAAAATATGGGCAATGTGGAGAAAATAGTGTCAACGTATATAAAAGACATTGACACTATTGCCTTGTTTTTATTTCTATATTGCAATGGTAGAATCCTAACTGCCAGTAACCATGTTGTAAATCTAGACTTGTAAACTATATACAGGTTGAAGTTATAATCAGTTATGGTTTTATCAGTTAGACCACAAAATATAACAACATTTAATACAATATATAGTTTTATTAATTTGAATCCTGAAAAAACTCTTTGTGTTCAGATGTGTAATATTTTTATCGACAAAAAAAAAATAAAATAAACATGACGCTTTTCTTTGCAAGCTTGTATATTTGAGACACCATTGAATTCAAATTAAACTAAAGAATAAAAACAATGAATGAAGCCAGCGATTAAGAGTAAAGTGATATTGGGCTGAAGAATGAAGATGATTCAGAGATTTGATCTGTGATATGAAATATAAACTGGAAACTTAAATGTTGTAGTGGTGGGAAGGTTTGCGAAAAACAATAGTTCAGTAGTGAATAAAATTTGCTCTGGTAGAACTGTCAACTCCAAATAATAATACCAGGGTTCTTCATATAAACACTACACAATCTTCTATGTTTCTGGTTCCCAACCTGGGGTGTGGGGCTGGGTTGTCGGTTGGTGTGGGGCTGGGGTGTCGTTTGGTGTGGCCAACTGCTGTAGAAGATGAATATAAATAAACCAAGTACTGATGATCCAATCCAAAAAAAACATAATATTGCCAAAACATTAGTAGCATAGCAGACAATGAACTTTTCACAAGTACATCAATCAGAAGTGAGTAAGTACTTCATAATGAAAAGATGTATCATGTGTCTAGATGAGTAAGCATACCCTGCTGGCGCCACACCCATCATAGCTGCCTAACATACACAACAATTATATATTTGATGTTTTGAATATACAGTGAGGTCTGAACAAGGTTGGCAGCCCCAGCTCAAAGTCAGTAAAACCTACATTCCACATTATCATAATAAAGTTGATTTTCACCAAACTCATTCTCTTTCACTGTCCATCTTTCTTTTCCAGCCCTATAGAATCTGACAAATGCAGCTTTCTGTAGATTGCTTCGTTCTCTTTGTGGTAATTTTCTTAATCGTCCTAACACAATGTCTATTAGGGTGTCGTAAGTTTCTCTTTTGACACTGATCTGTTGATGTGAACCGAAAAATACCTGAAAAAACATTAATAACATCTCACATTATAGTGATATAACCGTCTGAATATTTACTTTACCAGCTGATAGAGCTTAATTTTAGCTATCTGTATAGTCGTCTAAATATTTACTTTATCAGCTGATAGAGCTTAATTTTAGCTACCTGTATAGTCGTCTAAATATTTACTTTATCAGCTGATAGAGCTTAATTTTAGTTATCTGTATAGTCATCTAAATATTTACTTTACCAGCTGATAGAGCTTAATTTTAGCTATCTGTATAGTTGTCTAAATATTTACTTTACCAGCTGATAGAGCTTAATTTTAGCTATCTGTATAGTCGTCTAAATATTTACTTTATCAGCTGATAGAGCTTAATTTTAGCTTTCTGTATAGTCGTCTAAATATTTACTTTATCAGCTGATAGAGCTTAATTTTAGCTATCTGTATAGTCGTCTAAATATTTACTTTACCAGCTGATAGAGCTTAATTTTAGCTATCTGTATAGTTGTCTAAATATTTACTTTATCAGCTGATAGAGCTTAATTTCAGCTATCTGTATAATCGTCTAAACATGTACTTTATCAGCTGATAGAGCTCAGTTTCAGCTATCTGTATAGTCGTCTAAACATGTGCTTTATCAGCTGATAGAGCTCAGTTTCAACTATCTGTATAGTCATCTAAATATTTGCTGTACCAGCTGATAGAGCTTAATTTTAGCTATCTGTATAGTCGTCTAAACATGTACTTTATCAGCTGATAGAGCTCAATTTCAACTATCTGTATAGTCATCTAAATATTTGCTTTACCAGCTGATAGAGCTCAATTCAGCTATCTGTATAGTCGTCCAAACATTTACTTTATCAGCTGATAGAACTCAGTTTCAACTATCTGTATAGTCATCTAAATATTTGCTTTACCAGCTGATAGAGCTCAATTCAGCTATCTGTATAGTCGTCTAAACATTTATTTTATCAGCTGATAGAGCTCAATTCAGCTATCTGTATAGTCATCTAAATATTTACTTTACCAGCTGATAGAACTCAATTTCAGCTATCTGTATAGTCGTCTAAATATTTACTTTACCAGCTGATAGAACTCAATTTAAGCTATCTGTATAGTCATCTAAATATTTACTTTATCAGCTGATAGAACTCAATTTAAGCTATCTGTATAGTCATCTAAATATTTACTTTATCAGCTGATAGCATCAATTTGCTCCATTCCAATATTCAATCAGACATCAAATGTTTCAAGTCTGTTGTGTGCGTTGAATAGAAACATTTTAACTCTGTTATTATTCAACAAGTATTATACAAATATAACAATATTCTTATAAATTGATTTATTCTAAATGTTTGAAATTTTAAGACACAATGTTTAAGCTCTAGTTTCAAATATTAATATCTTCACAATGGCATGATTAAAAAGATTTAACAAAATACACCAAAATAAAAATGATCTAAAACTGTTATTTCAAAATATCATGTACACAATCATAATAAACAATAAACGAATGTGTGCTAAGTTTCAAAAAAGATAATTGACTTAAAAAAGAAATTTAAAAATAAAAATGATATCAAAAGCCCTTTGTTCTAATTACATGTTGATCAAATTTAAAGGATAAACTTGTACGAACCATGAAACAAATTTTCACATCCAACATATACCTGTGAATCTAACGTTATGAAAATTTATTCATTATCAACGACATTGTCAAGGTGATACAAATTTTTATCTTATAGTCATTTTTCTTCTGTTTTTAGGCAATCACAATGAGCATTGTTGTCAATTAGGCTACTATTTATGTTTTGATAATGAACATTTTTTTGAACATCGTGAAACCAATACATCAGTTTTATGGTCTTAGACTGTGTTGTTTACTATTAAAAAAGTTCTGTTCATGGTTTCAATTGACCTCTGCTGATGGTCAGAAATATCTTTGCTCCAATACACAAGAATCTTATCCAATGATTAAAAGTCATTGATGTAACTCACAGTTATCACAAAAAACCATTCGTTTTATAGTTAACCTTTTTTTTCACAATTTAGAAATATAGATCAATATAAATTTCAACATCAGAACTGAAACAAGTTATTTTCAGGAAAGATAGGATTATCTTCAACTCTCTTCACAATTAATGGAATATTGGCAGCTAGATTTGAACTCTGAGAAATTATAAAACAACTGTTTCCCACGAATACTGATTTAAATAGCTATCCCTATTTCTTCTCCACATATAAACAGTTTTGATCTGTAGCATCTTCTCTTTATAACACTGTCCTGTTTTATTCATAAAGTTCTACATCTAACTAAACTTCATCTCTTACCAAGCTACATCTATATATCTGGTAAGTAGGTAGGTAGATGACAAGTTAACGTTCGCTTCCAGCGGATGCTGATATCGCAAACTAGGTAGTTGTTGATAGTCGTAGTAGTTGGTAGTTGGATTGTCTATAGATCTTTTTAATACTGATTTAAATAGCTAGAAGCCCACTGTACCCCCATGTCTATCTCAATCTCCTCTCCACATAGAAACAGTTTTGATCTGCTGCCATCTTGTTTCACCATCCATTTCTCTTTCCCTGTGCGATAATAACGTACTATAGCAGCCTTTTGAATAAGGCTTCGATCTTTCTTCGGAATGTTGAACCTTCCTAGGACTAGATCTGATATAGTGTTGTAAGTTTCTCTGTTTAAACTTTTAGGACGCTTGCAAAAGATTTCTGAATGTTCTTTTAAAAACTTGATCTAAAATATAAAAAATATACAAGAAATGAAATGTTTTATCTCCTACTATTTACTCTAGATTGAGCTAATCAGCGGTATCATGTAATGAGAAAAATTTCCCTTTGCAACACCTTAAACTCCAAAAATTTTACATTAAATCACCCAATTCCTTTTCACAAGTTCAACCATAAATATAACAAATATACAACCATTACATCTGATGACAATACGTGTATATTGTGTTGAAACGTTATGTGTCTAACCTTATTAAAGAAGTGTGTTATATTCCATAATATTGTCTTGTGTTTTTGTTATATGTGCTCCTTGCTTCTATATGTCGTTCAAATCTGACATAAATATAAAGACTGAAGATCATCCTAAACAATGTAGCACTGAAACACCTACCAAATTCTACATTTTGGGCAAATCGGCTTCGCTGAAGTAAACTGGAAGGACCATTTCTTTATCGTGATTATAGACCTGAACCGGGACGCCATCAAACAGTAGCTGAGGACCGTCATCAGTATCCACTACAGAGTAACGGTTCTTGCCACGCCAATATTGAACGACAGCGTTCCTATGAAGTTGTGTTCGATGTTTGGTGGGTATTTTGAATTCACCACGTACTAGATGGACTATCGTTTCATATGTTTCCTGAGATATCGGTCGAGTACTTCTTTTTCTTTTGATCTGGAACAGACAAGATGATAGTCAATCATTACGTGTTAATTCATATACCTCACCCAGGGGTCACAAACCTTTTTTCATACTTAGCTGAAATTTAAGCAGCTTCTACAGGCGTATAAAAGTTTTTATCAAAGAAAATCATATCAATCTATTCCTTAGGTGAAAGTGGTTGTAAAAACAATATAATTGAAATTACGAAAACACAGGCCGAGGAGAAAAATCAGAAACATCAATTACTATTAAGCGCCCTGTGCCAGTGCCTTCTGTTGGATAGTAACTTGTTACCTTTAACCCACCCTAATCTATTATGTGCAGAAAAAAAGTGGCGAAAGATACAATCATTCCACCCTAAGGAATAGATTCATATATTTTTTTTTGTACTACAATGTTTCTGGCATTATAACATTAATCTCCAAATTTTACATTTTCATGATGAGAAGGGAATTATGAATTTGAGTAAAAATTAAGATGAACATGAAAAATGTTTTATGGCCCTGGGGCCGCAACCAACAATGTCATGAAAATCAACCTAAATAGTCGCATATTTAAGCTAAAAAACTAGCTTGGAACTACAACAGTTTTCTGTGGCCAGAATGACCCAGTTCCCATTACAATTTGGGAGAGAGTGTGTGTTTACTTGGCAGAGATGGCATGGGTATGTTAACATAACTTTATGAACACCTGCATCCTCACAATGTCAAGCCTTTACCAACTTCATCTTATACCTTGACTGCAATAGCCATCTTCCTAGCGATTAAAGTCAATTAGTGGCCTTGACAGAAAGCTGATGGCTCTGATCGACTGTATTTGCTGCCGAACAAATCAATTAATTTGCTGCATCTATAATAAAAATTTGTAAAAGCTTGAGATGGAACACCTACAGCCAATTTACATTTTACTTCATATATTGTATAATTGCTTGTATAGTGCGCAGGTGTTTTCTGTAGCTATTTATGGTAGTTTTATTCAGGAGATAAAAACACTGTAAAAGTTTATTATGACAACTAATATATAAATATTCATATAGACAACAATTTAATTGTTTTGTTAGAAGGAATCCTACGTCATGGAATGAACATGAAATTTAAATTCTCAAACTTAAGCCAGTAAGATTACCAGAATTCTGTTGTATATTGATGAATATCAATGATGAATATAAACTCTTATTAGCCAAGTTTGAGAATTTAGATTTTATGTTCAATCTTAGAGGCAATATATCCTTTAAAAGTCAATATGTACTTATATACAGATTTTAACTTATTTCATCCAACATGGCCAAGTTATTTTTGCATAGACTAAAACACCAAAAATACTTTTTTTCTTACTAGCTTTGTGTACGACTTTTGCATCTCATAAATAATTTTTTTCTAGTTTCTTTACTAGATTAATTTTCATAGAAAAACTAAACAAAAGTATTATTTGCTCTCATCAATGGAAAAAAGAAATGTTATACAAATTCAAGGTTTAACATTCTAATATGATTTATGTATACTCAATTCATAAGCAAAATTTGTTAAAAAAAAGGAATCAATTTATCATAGTAACATAAAAAACAGAATTATAACTTAAAAGTTTCACATTGTACGATCTGCAGAATATCTAAATGACAACAAAATTCAGGTTTCATTTTAATACTCTTAAATTCTGAACTTATTCAGTTATATACAATAAATAACGGAAAAAAACAATTTTATGGTATACTACTCAATCTATATTGTCATTATCAGGTGTAGTGAGGAAGTTCCTCCATTCACCTGAAGATGACAATGTAAATTGTAGAAACATTGTGTACAATAAAACTAAGGAATAGTATACCATAAAATTGTGTTCTGTTATTTAATGTGATCTCTACCCCTAAATGTCGCTAAAGGATTAATGATATATAATAAAACTAATAACATTATTTACAATATATAAATCCAACAAGGCTTTAAAAATTCAACAAAAATATAATGACAAAATAAGGGTTTACATAAATTATAATAAATTGGATATATTGATATTTATCTCAATATTTACATTAACAGCTGATACAGCTTCTAACCCATTTAAGCACCAAGAGATGATGTATAGTAAAATAGATGTGTTCTTCAAGGCACCAAATTTCAAGACATCTGTGATTCCTGCAATTACACTAAAACTAAGTATTTGATGACGTCACTAATGGCGAAGGGCCTTCTTGCAATTAGTGATGTCATCAAACACTTAGTTTTAGTGTAATTGCAGGAATCACAGACGTCTGAATGAAAATTGGAAAGGTGTAAATCGATCTTTACTCTCCCTTTAATCAGATTATTCTAAAGACCGATTTTTAATTTTTTTTGTTTTTTCTTTTTTCGATAAGTTGTTGTTGGAGACGATTTTTAGCTCGAATGATGTCTTGAGCCTCCTCCAATTCGGTTTTCATTTTTCCAGGTTTGACAGTCGTATCTTCTACAGTTTCAGCAATTATTTTAATTCTTATCTTCTTAGCAGAAGGAAAAGGGTTATTTTTCTCCACTGGCTCTGTTTGGTTGTTTTCTGTGGAAGATTTTTCAATTTCTGTGGATGGAGTTGGATCCTTTTCATCCTTTGGAATGGGATTATCTTTTTCCATTTCTGTCATAAAACTAGAAGATGGGGCTGAAATAATTTCTTCTTGGGGATCAAATTCTTCAATTATTGAAAATAAATCTATCATTTCATTATGTGTGGCTGATTCATTCAAACCTGTGTTATCTTTTGGTTGAGATTGAGCGTTTTCCAGAGTAGAAATGGAATAAAGTGTAGCATCCTTCATTAGCTGCACCTTGGATGGAACACTTTTTACATCTGTCATGGCAGATGTGTTGTCTTTTATGGGTGACTTCTTCCTATTAGATTTTTTTTTGTCTTTTTTTGACTTTTTGAATCTTCCCTTTTCTTTCTGGATGTTAGAGGTAAATTAACCCTCTCTGCTGATTCAGGTTGAGGATTGTCTATTGGTGAGTCTACTACTTTCCACATGGACCGGGAAATCAGTGTGGCATCATTATTTACCTGCGTCTCAGGTGAAACACTATCTACATCTGATATGGGAGATGGGATGTTTTTAACAGGTGATTTCTTCCCTAACCTCGGTGAAATCTGTCTAGAATTTCTTTTCCCTTTTGGTTCTGATATAGTGTTATCTCTTGGTGAATCTTTCCCTTCTGTCTTGGAAAATTGGGTTAAATCTATTTTCTCTTTAGACCTGGATGGAGTGGTTTCTATGGAGGAATCCTTCACTTGGGACATGGAACTAGAAAATGGTGATGCTTCATTTTCCTGTGATGAATTGGGTCGGACATTTTGTATAGATGAGGTCACTTTCACCGCAACCTTAGAGGACTTGCTTCCAGCATCATTCTCTACATATTTGGATTGGTCCTTTTCTTTAGACGTTTCTTTCACTTCTTGGTTTGGATCACTTTTCTCTATGGACTTTAGTTTTTATCTGGTAATTTTGATTCTTGGATTTTTAGTGGTGATGGTTTCACTATCAGATGAGAAGCCTGTTTTGAAATTAGATCTTCTTTGGACTCTAACTGGACATTTTTTGTACATAAATCCTTCATTTTTTGGGAGAAAATTTGATCGGACCAATCTTAACTTGTGATGGAGATTGGACGCTATTTGTAGGAGACTTTTTCAATTCAAAATTTGCAGATTCTGTTTGTCGTCCTCTTTTGAAACAAATTCAATATTTTTCATTGGTGATTTATTCAATCTTAAAGATTTTCGAGTATTTTTTTCAACTTTTGAGTCAGGTTGGATGTTTTCTTGTCGCAGTTCTTTCACTGGCAAGTCCTTCGATACTTCCTTCTTGGATTGGGTAGGATTTTTTTTCACTTTTGACTTGTCCTGACCTTTTTTTGCACTCTTATCTTTCATTTCCTTCTTCGGAGTTACCTTCTCTTCATAGACTCGACCTTCCAGTCTGGCTCGCTTTCTTTCACGATATCTTCGCGATCTCAGGGCCGATGCAATCTGTTTCTTAGTTCTTTCTTTCCAAATCTGAAAAATATTACAAAAAGAGACAAATAATGATTTGAATTAAATATATAATATACCGTACATGATATCAATTTATTAAAGTGATTGTTAAGAGGTTTTCTAAATTTTTATGTACCATATATCAGGAACACTGATAGCATCAACTTACACCATTTACATTTTCAATAAGACGTCTGAGATTCTTGCAATTCCACTAAAACTAAGTGTGCGATGATGTAACTAATCACCATATATATATGCTTTAACACACAAGAACTTTTACGATTAGAGACGTTGTTGAACACATAGTTTTGAAACGCAGGAACCACAGACGTCTAGTTGAAAATAAGAAAGGTGCAAAGTTATGGCAGCAAAATATTTGATTTACCAAATGATCTAGCTCATGCTTAATTGTATTCATCAAGTTTAGACAATTCCAAGGCATTATAAACCTTCTCATCTGCATAAACTGCTTAAAAGTGAGAGATATAGAGAGCTGAAAATGAGCTCTATTAGATTGTAAACTAAACAGGCTATATTTCTATAATATTTGAGAGATTCAAATATTTCTTTATGAATCACCGTGAGCACACATTTGTGAAGTTCATCGCTATTTAAATATACACATTACTGTTATTATCAATTAAACATGACTTGTCTATGGATGGATAGATATACACATATTTATTTAAAAGAGCATTTGATTGGTTGAATATTTTAATGACCTAGAACATGTGTTGCTTAACAATATCATAAGATCATGGATGGTATGTGAAATCCACTAGAGAAAAAAAAAACACAAAATAAAAATGTAGATCTGTATTTCAATTCATCGTGTGGGGATCAATTTCATTACAGGGAATCTATTCTTGACAACTTTTCTCAAGATTTTCAAAATGTTGTAATCTGATTGGTTGATAAAACTGAATTCAAAAACTATTTTAATGATTGACCAATCAGATGAAGAAAGAGCTTACAACTTTTAACGTTTTTGAGAATAGCACCTCTGCCCCCGTTTCTAAACAAAATCTCACTATAAATTTTACCTTAAAGTAACCCCTTGTTTTTTGCAAAACAGGTCTCAGAAACTACACTTGATAAAATGAAAAAAAAATGGACATGGAGACAGATCAATGACATATTGGAGAACTAGTTGAACACACCTGTTGAAGAAATCCTCCTTTCAATCTGCAAAATCTTCATTTAACTCTACTTTAATTCGCTTCTTCAATCTATAATTAGCTTGACGAATCCGATTTTTCTCTCGTAATTCCAGAAGTTTCTGTGGATCATCTTCCTCTCGAATTTTCTTGATGTAATTTTTCTTGCGTTCTGATTCTCGTTTTCGAAATTCTGGATCATCACGAAATTTATCACGGTATTTCTTTGATCTTCTAGCTGCCGATATCTGAACACGTGTCCGTGGCTTTTTGGTCTGAAACAAATATATATCATGGAAAATAAATGCATTCAATCAATGATATTTGAGGTATCTAAGCAAATGATTAGTTTATCTTATTTTTAAAGGATTTAAGTCACAGACTGCCAGTGTCTTAAAACACAGAAAATGTGAGCAAGTCCTGTCTCTCAATAGTCAATAATAATAATGACAACTCTATACTTTATGACCAATACACTGAAGTCCTATCTAACATTCAGATCATAGACTCTTTATTTTACATGGTTCAGAATATGGTCCATAACACCAACATGACATGGTCCTCTTAAACATTCAGTCAAGGGGGACAAACATAGACTCTTTATTTTACATGGTTCAGAATATGGTCCATCACACCAACATGACATGGTCCTGTTAAACATTCAGTCAAGGGGGACAAACATAGACTCTGTATTTTACATGGTTCAGAATTATTGTCCAATACGCCAACTGATATGGCCCTGTCTAACATTCAGTCCATGGGGACAAACATAGACTCTGTATTTTACATGGGTTTGAATTACATGTTAGTGATATGGTCCTGTTTAACATTCAGTCCATGGGGACAAACATAGACTCTGTATTTTACATGGGTTGGTATTACATGTTAGTGATATGGTCCTGTCTAACATTCAGTCCATGGGGACAAACATAGACTCTGTATTTTACATGGGTTGGTATTACATGTTAGTGATATGGTCCTGTCTAACATTCAGTCCATGGGGACAAACATAGACTCTGTATTTTACATGGGTTGGAATTACATGTTAGTGATATGGTCCTGTCTAACATTCAGTCAAGGGGGACAAACATAGACTCTGTATTTTACATGGGTTGGAATTACATGTTAGTGATATGGTCCTGTCTAACTTTCAGATATAAATGTATAACATAGTATATTTTAACAATATTGATAAGGAAATATTGGTTTTACAATTAATGCCAATAGAGGGTGTTATCATTGTATTATTAACTCTATTTAGATACAACTTTTACAATAACATTTTTTATCATTCTCTGTATATACCCAATAAATTGGCCATACTTCCAATTAAAGTTAATCTTTCAACAATAACCAGATCAGCCTAATCTTATAATTCTTATAATTTGGTACAAACCAGTATAGATAGGAGATAAATTGATGCTAAAATCAATATTATTACAAACCAATAAAAGGTCAAAATTTCGGAAGCATACAGGGGACATGAGAAAAATAAAATTATAACCCCTGGCAATGACTTAGTATATAAATCTTACTTGCTGCAAAAAAGTTGAGTTTATCGATTATAAGAAAAGAAATTGATTTGTAAAGGGACAATTGCGTCATTTTGGGGGATTGATTTGAGTGTTGAATGTATGATAATAGTCTTCAGAAGTATTAGAAATGTAAGAAAATCACACAATTACAATAAAAATACTTCAAACTAAGAATTTTATGCACTATTTCTATATATGTCTTTTCTATATATCACAGAGTATCTTATCTTGACGAGTCGACATTTTAACATTCAAACGCAGATAATTCTGGACACACGTGGATTTGAAGGCTCAAATTTCAACCGGGAGCTTTGCTCAGCTAAAAAATTCCCGGTTCTGAGACTAAAGAATGATTGGTCAAAAATAGGCGCATCTGTCCCTTCAAGTATTATCATAAAAATCATTTTATAAATGAATTTGCTATCATTCTGTCTCAATATACACAACGTAAATCAAGGCCACGAGATGCTAATTAAAAAAATTATTTTATATTAAATGTCCCCTATTTGCTACCCTACAAAGAAAATTTTGAATGAAAGTAGAAAAAAAACACCTACTAACCTTTGAGCACAGATAGCAGATAGTCCATAAACTTGACTTGCTACTTGTAAATATTATATACAGAAAATAGGTTAGTTTGAACAGATTTAATCTAGAACATAAAGAAACGTTTCGCGTAAAAAAAAACACGGAATTGAATCTCTCAAAACAAGATATATTATGTAATCTGTGAGGAAAGGAACGTTCTAGGTAATTACTTTCAGGCAAATAGACCCTAGAAATCAACTTAGTACAATGTATTATTTGACTAAAATCAAATCTAGATGTTTTGTTTTGCATTTCAGACAAATAGATCATAGAAATTACTGTCAACTTAGTATAATCGACAATTAAAATCGGATCTAGATGTTTTGTTTTGGATATTTGTTCTTCAATGCTTAGAATGAAAATCCCTGAACTTATCACATTGGACAAAACTTGGATAAGTTGTATATTGGTCAAAATTTAACAGGATAACAATGATTGCAAAGGTAAGTTAATCAAAGAAAAATGCAAAAGAAAATTTGTCTTGAAGGCCTTTTTCACAAAAACTTTAAATTGAATGACTTGAGAATTCTCTTCAACAGAATTGTCAATCATTATATTTTTTCCTCAATTTTCTTTTATTAATCAATTAAATGAAAATATTTCTGGATTTAATCAAAGTCAAGATTTTGAGAATAAGGCCTCAGCCTTTGTATGAGAAAAAATTACAACATGAAAATAACAAGTTAAATATAACTTACCATTTAAGCTCTTGGTTCTTCTCAATTTATAAAAAATGTTGAGGTCAAAATCAACGGAAAAAAGAGCTATAGCAATTATATATCTTATTCAAAACTTGCAAAGCCAATGAAATTCAAGTGCTTAGAGTCACTACAGATAATAATTTCCTAACAAATTGAAAAAAATACATAACGTTATCGCACCATTAATCAAAATATTGAAAACACCTAGAATGTCATATGTACTGGTTTGTACCAAATTTCGGAAGCAGAAATTTAATTCATTTATTTTTATGTTCTGTTCTGTTTTTGAAAATCTTTACAATGGATGTCTGTAGTTTTCAACCATTGGAATAAAATTAATTCTTAATATTAGTTTCATTAACAAGATACCTTTATATCTTATATTCCGTAAATCGAGTTTTTGAGAAACAGCAGCCAGAAACTTTGATTGTGATTTTTTAGCCGAGAGGTTAGGGTTTGATCTAGGTTGTCGGATTTACTTCGTTAAACACACAAACATAAACTTTATGTTGTCATGAAGTTTTTTTAGGGTCATGGGGTTGGTATTAGATAGGAAACCCATTAGTTTGAGGGGCCAAGTCCGTTCCATCCTACCTCCATCAATTGTAATGTTATAAAACAAAAATTTCAGCTTTGAATATTATCTTATACTATTTGAATCATATGATTTTATTTCTGAATCAGAAATGCAGAGTTAAAAAGCATGGATATGACTTACTAAGTATCAGTTGTCTGAGGATCACATAGCCTGAAAATCTGAGTAATAATATGCTTCAGGTTCTTTTTTAATATTTGTACAATTGATTAATTGGGCACTATTTTAACAGTGAAAATATTTTGTTTCAAATTTCATACATTTCTTGTATGTACCAAAAAGGTATTTGTATATGAGTATATTATTAAGATTTTGGCTATTTCTAAAAAATCTGATGCCCTCTGATGCAATTAGTTCTACATTTCTGATTCAGAGGGAGTAAAAACAATAAATATACTCACTTTTAAATTATTATCTATAGAACTTCCATCAATCGAACCTACAACATAGAAATTTTATATCAATTTAGAATATCTTAGCTTTCTCAGTCTTTTTTTCACTCGGAAAACCTTACAATTCCACTAAAACTAAATGTTTCATAGGGTCAATAATGGCTAAATATGTTTTATCATGTAAGGTCTTTCGCAAATTAGTAAAACACTTAATTTTAATGGAATTGTAGGAACCACAGCATCTGGCTGAAAATTGAAATTGTCCTATCAGTGTCCCTGATACACTTAAAAAATTTAGAAAACCTCTTTACAATCCCTTTAAGAGACTAAACAGCAATGTGGAAAACAGGATCCTTGAGAACACAGACCCAACACTGAAGTGAAACTTAAAGGGACAGATGTGCCATATTTTGGGATAAATTTTAGTCTTTAATATAAGTAAATAGTCTTCAGAAGTACTTAGAAATGTACTAAAATCCCATAATTCCTTCAAAAACATCTCAAAATAGGAATTTCTTTCCCTATAGATATCTTTTCTATATATGGCAGTGTCTATTCTAACACAGAAAACTTTGGACACACATGGATTTGAAGGCTCACATTTCAACAGTGAGCTTTGTACACTATTACTGATTGGCTTAGCTAAACAAAAATCCTGTTTCTGAGACAGAAAAAAAAAAGGCAAATACGTCCCCTTAAGCATCACAAATAAATAAAGCAAAATCAAAGAAATCAGGCTAAATTAAAGAAATCAGGCTAAATCAAGCAAAATCAAAGAAATCAAGCCACATCAAAGAAAGTTAAGCTTACCAAAATGAGAAGGTGATGCCATACTGCCACTGGTACCAGTATCTAACGAGTGAGAGAATACTGTGTCCATATTGCTATCATTATCATGTAACGCTACTGGAACTGGGGTTTTAGTCTGGTTAAACTGATTCGAATAAATCTGGTCATTTTGATTAAAATCATCACTCAGATGCTCAAAACTTGGACCTGAAAGAAAATAAATGAAATGAAATGAATGGAGTTTTACGTCCTACTTTTCTGCACCATGTGGGCTAATGAAGACGGGCAACGCCATGCAGGGTGCGATGAGGGAAAGTTTGCCTGGACAGCGGCATTAGCCTGCTCTTTTTCGATTTCCAACTGTCAAGGGATCTTTAACGTGCACAGCCTGTAGCACACAGGGCCTCGGTTTATTGTCCCATCCGAACGACTACACGCTTTTTCCATGTCAGCCCCTCTTACCTGCATCACTGACAGGGGGTGAAAAAAAATAAAGAATCAATATTAATAAAAATGGAATTATATTGATAAAGAGGCTTAAACTTAATCATTGAAGATTCTGCTATTTAATTGTTGTCTGGGTCATGAGTTCAAGTTCCTTAATATTTCTGTTTGTCACCTTAGCATTTCATTACAAATTGTCTGGGAAATCAATGTTGAAATAGGTTTGGCCAAAGAGAAGATAGGCAGGCCTACATGATCCTTAACACTTTCCACAATGCTATCACATAATTATCAGATGATCAGATGGTAGAGCTTCACATAATGTTAACGTCATAGGCTTAGTCATTTAACTCTGTGTGTATGAGGTTTTATTCAGTATACAAAGGGTTTCCTTCTTGAAAAATATAAAAAATTGGCTTCTTATTATTTGCATGTGGAATTTAGAATTTAAGTGCTGAAATATCTGGCAGTAAAAAGTCATGAAAGAAAGACAACTCTTGATTTACCTGGTACATTACTGTGATCAGATGATTGTAAATCTTCTTTTTCAATCCCAGGCTCTTGTTTCACAATAGACAAATTAACTTCTTCCTCAGCTTTAGGTTTGGGTTGAATAGGGGTAGATGTTATCCTGGCCTTAAATTCATCTAAAGATAGCATAGGAATTTTCGCTGGTGATTCAAAAGTAGGTTCATCATCTCTATAAGCTGGATGGATGTTTTGAGACATTTTTCTCTTTGGGACAGTTCGTCGGTTTGATATTGGTTGAGACAAGGATGGTATGCTGACTGGTACAACAGTGTGTTTTGTATTTTCTGGTCTTTTGCCACTTTGAGCAGGTTTAACAGGAGTTTTTGGTTCCGAATGGTAACTCTTGCTCACAAAAACAGTTGATGATAAGTCACTCTTGCATACTTTTTCATTCACAATATAGTCAATATTTGTATCGCTGTCCACGTTTAAGTACAGATGACCTATTACTTGTATTGAACTATTAAAGTTAACATGACCATGGCATAAAACTTGGAGATTTTTTACCAAAGCATTGATAAACTTGTTGGCTTCTCCTACATCCATTTTTCTGCAAAGAAAATTTCATTAAAAATAAGACAAAATATGTTTTTGTTTATGACATGATCTCATTTCTATAAGCAATGGCCTGAAATTCTTATGTATAAAAATTAAGCAAGGGAGAATCTTGTAACGGAGAATCTTCAGTAGCATAACACTATAATATGCAGTTTCTGGCAAGGAAGGGTGTTATTCAAATGTAAAATTATCGAAACCTTACATTTCTATGAACATTCCATGATAAAGATTGTGGATTGTCAGAATCAATAAATAAGAAATTAATTATTTGTCATCTGTCACTGTTGCAGTTTCGCAGCTCCCCTCTTCCTGTGCTGTAGATGTACAACTTTGCAAAAGGTTTTGTCAAGTCCCAGGTGGTCTCTTGATCAGAGCTGCCTCCCCTGTCTCTCAGAATCTGATTGTCTAATGTCTCTCTCCTTGGTCTCTTTCTGTCACAGTTTCACTTGTCGTGAAAAAAGCAAATTAGTTACCTGATACCGAAGAGGTGATTTACAGCGGATTTCTTCTATTCGTATAATTCAGCTTTTATTTATCCTGTTGTGCTTGGTTTTGCAGAGTATGTTGTGACACAAATTCCTTATTTTCCTTCAAAAACGATAGAAATTTGTTTTGTTCTAGAAAATAGCGTTTAATGATGCTGGTATTGGGAGAGTTCCTTAGAATTCTTGACCACCTTAAAAATGTCTTTTACCCTGATGTTCAACTTATTTCTAATACATTTTTGCATTAGCAATTTAAAAAAAATCGAAAAAGATAACTGATGTGAATTTATTGAGAAATATATTTGATTCGGTTTAAAATAAGAATACTTAATATTTGAAAATAACATTTCAATAATTACTCCATTAAGTACCATTCTAATCTTCAATAGTAAAGGGGTGTAATTCTATCGATTCAGACTACAAATAAACCAACTCCACTTCGTAATATGTCGGCGGCTATAAGGTATTATGCAGGTTAGGAGCAGGGCCTGCGCTTACTCACTAGGGCATTTGCAGGTTAGGTTTATTTTGAAAAGGGGGCTCAACTATGTGATCGAATAAGTCATTTCCAGTCATTTATATTTTTAAATATCAGCACAATCATGATCAAAGCAAGTTCAAATTTCCGGCTGGGTTAAGCGCATCTTCATATGTTAAGCTATTACGAACTTTGAACGTATGCCATATAGTCTATATATTGTAATAGCTACATTTCTCCGTCCTCCGTCCCCTTCGAGGACTCTGTATTAGCAAACAATCCAATCAATCGCTTCATTTACAAACTACCATCATACTAGAAAGGTCACTATTGCAGTCAAGGTATAAGAACGAAGTTTGTAACAGCTGGACATTATGAAGATGGGCTAGGCGTGGCTAGTGATTTGAATCAGTAAATGAAAAAGATTAGAAACGGCATGTTGATGTTTATTTATTTAGTTTATCATCATCTCGAACACAATAGTTCAAGTTATTATAAGATGTATCCTTGAGTTGTCAGCCATCTATAGCGTCATATCGAGAAACCATCTTCTAAGTCGTTGCTTCGTTCTATTTCTGGAATTAGTTTTTTGGATTTGTCCCTGCAAAAGAATTCTATTTATCTTAAATATTCCCGAATATTTACAGATAGTTGAAATTGAGTTCTATCAGCTGTTAGAGTAAATATTTAGATGCCAATACGGATAGCTAAAATGGAGTCTATCAGCTGGTATAGTACATATTTAGACGACTATACAGATAGCATAACTCGGGCTCTATAAGCGTATCAAGTAAATATTTAAATGATAATACAGATAGCTGACACAAGCTCTATCAGCTGGTAATGTAAATGTTTAGGTAACTATACAGAGAGCTGTAATTGGACTCTTAAGTAAATATTAAGATGATTATACAGATTGATGAAATTAAGTTCTATCAGCTGGTAAGACGGCTATATACTTGAAAGGGATACTACGTCTTAGAATAAACATACAATTTTAAAACCTCGTATAACTATATATGACGCGAAATTACTTTTCGAGAAAAACGCAAAAACTATTTGTACGCGTATTTTGTTAAAATCTTTTTTATTATTTTTTTTACCGTTCTACGTGGTTTTCATTCTTGGGAAATATAAACCTCGTATAACAATTTGAAATCTCCGGCTATTGAACCAAAAACTCATATAATTATATAGTATACGAGATTTTTATCCACAGAAAAAGAAACATTAAACCTCGTATAATAATATATTTGACGAGGTTTTAAATCTGACTGTTTATACAATTTTTTTACAATCAAGCTAAGAATACGAAGTTTTGATCACAAGATCCGCGCTTTTACGAGGTTTCGAATGGTACCAAATAGTCAAAATTACCAAATATCGCATATACGAGGTTTCAAGCGGTCACCCACGATATTCTACAGTAGATATACCTGATGTCATAAATAACATAACAGGATCCTTATATAATCCGATAAATCCAAAAAACTTAATAAAAATGCAATTAACTATTGAAAAACGCTTAATATTATGATTAATCGTTTTTCAATAATTACTTAGTTTTATGAATTTTCCAATTTTCCAGATTTTACAGGGATTCTGTTGTAACTTTATGATACCAGGTAAGTTCACTGATGAATATATACTCATATTCATTCTTGAGCATTAAATTTTATGTTCATTCTAAGACGTATAGTATCACTTTAAGTTTAAATGCTGTGTGAGTTATATCCTTACCTTTATAATGTATATTCTCTATCTTGATTAAAAGTGGAAAAATCACAATCCTTCAGTCGGTGAGATTGATACTGTAAACAGTGAAAAAATACTTTCTATCATTCTTCAATATTAAGATGTTTGAATTAAAGGTATATTCTATATCATCTATATCAGATGCCACATTTTGCAATTATGATCAATTTCCTTTGTTGCAATCTCACTAGGATACCAATTTTGATTTATATTTTTTGCTAGTAAGGGACTCAACTTGCGAAGAAAAACAAATGGAAAGGAATTGCTTTTTTTATGTGTATCGAGGCCAGTGTGCATCATTTCAATTTTTCGTCAGATGTCTGTGGATTTTGTGATTACAAAAATGTTTAACCGTATATAACATTACTTAGTGCTTAGTTTAAAGATGGGTTCCCTCATTTTCATGTTTGAAAATGAAAATGCTAATACTTATATGAATAGAAAGTAGAGGTGTTCTAATGACTGGAAAAATACCAGTTTGTGCCACATGTCCATAATTAATTCATAATTAGTTAAAGTAGATGAGAATTAACAGCAGAATACCAATAAGTGACCGATCAAGAAAAGTCAAAAAGTCTTTTTTTTTTATCCAGACTGTACATACATGGACATTTATAAGTGGTTAAAACTCTTAATTATTTGCAGTAAGAAAATAATGATTAAGAATACATGATAATTCATTAGAAACACCAAATAGTTTGCTTAATTTGACATGAAAAAAATAAGGAAACTAATATTTAAGTGGAAAAGTTTAGTTTTAAATGAAATGCATGAACAACAAACGTTCCATCGAAAATTGGACTGATGCAAAATGCTATAAGTATCCGCGATCTACATAGAATTGAAAATTTACAATGCCTTTAATCTTACCTTCGATAATTGTAAGATAAGTTTTGTTATGAATGGGTCCCGTAGACAATCAAGTTTCCTCGTCTCTTTCTTCATTTCTGTTCGTTTGCCCAGTCCAGCCCCACCCCACCCGATCGTCTGCGCCCACTGGGCCTGGGTGGGTAATACGTATAAAACTAACATCACTACAAGTACAACTGTTTTACATGACAAAATCATAGGTTTCACTGAAAAATAGAAGATCACTAATTTTTACATATTTCTTGCACCGAATAATAATTAAGCAATCATCTATTACACTTTTCTTGCTCAGACCGTATTGAGCTTTCAAAGAGACAAGTTCGCCATTTTTTGGGTCTTGAATATAAGATGTAAATATTCTTGAGATGTACTAGAAATGTACGAAAATTGTATGATTTCTTCAAAACTACTTCAAACTAGGAATTTCACTTTGTATTATATGTTTTTTCTATATATGGCAGAGTCTCAAGAAAAGACGAATCGTCATTTTAACTTTCAAACGCGGATATTTGTGGACACATCTGAAGGCTTAAATTTGGACAGTAAGTTTTGAACACTATTACTAATTAGATTAGCCGAAGAATTCCCGTTTCTGAGATTAAAGTTATACTAGTGAAACGGATGGCAAACCTGTCCGTTGAGATAAAACAGTGTGTTCGGCAATTTTTCTGTTCATTATTCATTATTAGACAATGTACTTGTGTTCAGTGTTGTAAAATTCAGACAGCATCGCTTTCCAAAAAAAATGTGGAAAATAATTTGAAAAAAAAATTGACAAATTAGAATATGTCCCTCGTCTGAAAATGTGACGCCCCGGGACACAGAAATGTGTTAGCTTCATCTTGAATATCCGTTTCTCATAGTCTACATATAGGCCCTAGTGCATTATATTCCAACAGGACATTTGCTACCAAGATAATCGCGATTACTCGACAATTTTTGCCATCAGATCTACTACCAGTTCTCGTTTTTTCAGCGAAACGACCATAGGAGAGCTTCCTTTACCTTCAAGGCCATGTTATTCAGGGGAGGTTAGCCTACTCTTAGCAGTCATTGAATATTTAGCCGAAACAGAACTCTGAACCAAACGAAAACAACTGAAAATAGAATAGAATTTGACGACTTTTACGACGATTTTCAAACATAAAATTTCTTACCCATTTTTGAATAATCCACTAGAATGTTCCTTCGTTTCTTGTCTAATCAAGTGCCCATCTGTAGTTTAGAATTTGTACTGTGCCTTTTAAATATTGTCATACAAAAGCCCTTTGTTGCAGTAGAACAATAATTCGCGTTGAGTCAAATAAAAGAAAGTAAACTCAATGTGGGCGAACTGTTTTTCAATCCCTAGGGGAAATGGGAATTTTTGAACCTTTGAATAGTTTCCATAATTAACTGGCTATCCTAACAGTGGCGTATTTAGGCAGTAATTTTTTTAGCCATGCCACCCCCTATCCCCTCGGGCCATAAAAAAGTAAAAATTTATTCTTCTTCTAATTTCAAAATTCCGCTAGATGTAAGCTCCGACTTACTACACTAGAATATTTTTCTGGCTGCGTGCCAGCTTCATAAAAAACACACATTTGACTTTCTTGGGGGTGAAATTTGGAATTAAGAGGATTAGGGCCCAATTTTACTCACATGGGTCGATTTTGGCGATGGCGATCTTCGCCGGAAATTAACCAAGCTAGTTCAAGATGTAAAGGCCTTTGTTCAAGTAAATCAAGCACAAGGTTCTCTCTGAAGGGCCTTGACATCTCTGTTATTTAAATATAAGTTTGAAACAGTGCCTATCTAGCATGTATCATTATTTTGTTTTTAAGTAATTTGATGTTTTACAGTTTCGGGGTGAATGGTGGAGATTTTTTTCTCAAAGGAGGAGGAGGGAAGGGGGTGGGGTTGATTGGATTATCAAAGGGTTGAGAAGGTAAGAGGGGCTGACATGGAAAAGCAGATTGTCGTTCGGATGGGACAATAAACCGAGTCCCCATGTGTTACAGGCTATGCACGTTAAAGATCCCTCGA